GTAAGCTTTGTACAAGTTTTATACACAGACTCGATTTATGATTTTTCAGTCTCAAATATTTAGCTGCAAATTTGTTTACTGTGTTCTTCACCAAATCTTTGTTTTTCTTTTTAATAGTGTTTGTGAATGACTATCAGAGTTCGCCATTTAACAATAGCGCGATTCCAAAACAAAAACAAACGACTGCAAAGGATCTCGGATGGAAATGGGCCTTTAACTTGTGGGGTAGTCATTTTGTCCACACTAAAAAGTACATCAGACACCACTATCTTTACCGAGAAACTCCTGGGTCGAGTCGGGCTACCCTTTCATGTAAGCATACTTGTAGCTCTGAAAAAGTGTCAAAAGAACTCAACTCAAGAAGTCAGCAAATTTAATTGTCTAAATTTCAATGGTTTGATGGGGGCAACGTCCCTAAATTGTACGATATGAAGTCTGATTATCAATCATTCGTATCAATACAATATATAAGAAACTTAGAAGTGAAAAATTTAATGTAAGAGCTCGTAAAATACTTATATTGTTAAATAATTAGCCAAAGTTTAAATTTCCAAAGTCTAATGTGAAACACTCACTTGACATTTTTTCTTTATTTTGACTGGCGAGCGCTGGCTGGGTGGTTGTGTATTATTGGCTGATGACTTAAACGTCCTTTTAATCTTTTTTTGGCTATACTTATCTGTCCGATTTAGCCTCTCCGATCATGTACAAGTATTTCGATAGGCCCGTGAAATCGGACAGTTATAGGGGCTGTTAAGAACCACTAAAGTCCTAGCATTTCGTTATCGATCACTAAAACCTTAGCATTTTGTCATAGACACTGGAACAAACTCGAATAGTTTACGGGACCTGTTCTAGCCGGTCGGGCGTGAAGAGGAATACCTGATAGATTAGCAACGTATTATGCTCTGTAAAGTGTAAACTCCATGAAATCCACTTCATTTATGTTTATTGACGTAGAAATAACCAGAGGAACCAAGACACGATGAAGACAACATACATTTGGTGTTTTTTTTTTACTGCCCTGGTACTGTCTGAGAGTGCATTTGCGAAACTTATCTCTGGTAAGTGCTAAGTAATGGAAGAAATACAGGGTGTTACGAAAACTAAGACCCCGAAAACTAAGACCCCCCGTCTTTTCATTGATTTTCACTTTTCCGGCGGGTCAGTAAGTCCGCGAACAGGTGTAGTACCCGTGTGATGTTATAATCTGATCTCTACAGTGTTATATTTTGAGTTCAGAAAACTTAAGCTCATATCAAGCTCAGCTTCACTCCACTGATACTCATTGATAAAAAAGTTTTTTCATAAACTCGTCATTTTAAAATCAGTCTTACATCGTTTTCTGAAATAAGTCAGACTCCTTGAGATGTGTGTCAGATATTGTTCTCTATTTGATTCTGCATATGCATATGTCTGCTTTTAAAAGGATCTGCGACTTCTCTTCCAAAGAAAAGAAGCGTTCAACCACCATTTTTTGCTGGGGGTATTCCTCCAACGGGGCTTCCTGGTACTACTCAAGACATGGCCTTACACCAGCAGACGCTGCCTGATGATCCTCCAAACACTCCACCGTATTTCGTCTCTCTCTTTGATCCAAGCACCAATACTCCCTTTTATTCAGCTTACAAAGTTACACCTATTCAGGCAGGGAACCTTGGGAATGAAAAAAGGCCAGGTGGAATAAAGTTTAAAGACCCCCCAGGTATGGAGATAGTTATGAGTTAAATGAAGATCGATTCAGTCTGCAAAGTAAAACTTATTCAGGAAAAGGACCTTAGTGAAGACGAAAGGCTGGGTGGAATGAAATGGAGAGATTCCCAGGTTGCAGATAGTCATGAAAACCAGCTAAAGATTGGATGGTGAATAGTAGTACAATATTATCAAACCAACTCACACATATCCCCGGGATTTTACAAATTAATCGAGATCGAGCTTCACGTTGTTCTCAGACCTTGCTGAGAGCGTTCGCTCCGGAAAGTATTTTGTAGATTGATGACTTTTATTTAATTTTTTTTCCTTAAGCATTCTAACATTTTGAAGCATACGTAAACAATCAAAGCAGAAAAGACTGCGTAATGAAATCATTTGAAGTCATCCAGTTAATCACCTAGTTTTCGAACAGTCTTCGTTCTGCTAAAGAGGTTTCACGCACAACAAAAAGTAGAAAAAAAACGCATCACGAACATAAGATAAACAACTTAAAGGTTCACCTATCGTAAAAAGCAAAAAATTCATAGTTTGCGGAGTTTTAGTTTCTTATTTTCACTGGTCATCAACATTAAAAACACTTTATCCCGATTCACCGAGTAATCCGTTTCCGCTCCTCATTGGACTAACACTCTTCCCAGAGCACATATACATCCTGGGCGTTTCCAGTTTTACAAACCAAGCAAACAAGCTCTAACAATTATAAGGAAATGCTATGCGGGGCAAAAATGACAACTGTCCATCTCCGAGAGACTGCCTCACCTATTTCTTGTCTGAGGAACAAAATATTGAGTGATCTCTAGAATATTTGCTGCCTACCGGAATACCAAACCAGGATACATATCAAATAAGAGTCTTCATACCCTCACGGTTATACCAGAGGAAGGCATGTAGGTTTAAAAGCCTAGTCTGCGATACTACTTTGATATAAAAAATTGTCACTATCTTTTTGTCTTATGGTTTAATATCATCTGTGTTCACAGGCGTTCCTGGTGTCAGCATTGCCTATAAAGAAGCAATCGCAGATACCACACAACCAGGCAAGCCAAACCAAGCATTAACCAGAGGCCATTTGAATCCCTCAGCGATAAATTCCTTAGACAAAAGATTCATGACCGCTACTTATACTTTTACAAATGCCGTACCTCAGTTTGCAGCGACGAACTTCTATTTGACGAATTTTGAGTCAAGAGTAGAAAATTATGCTAAGAACAACTGCGGCAGGAAAGATGGCACCCTTTACCTTTTGTCTGGCACATCAGAAAATGGCCTAATCATTAATCAAGAAGGAAAACCTGTTCAGGATCTTTCAAATCAAATTCCTAAACCCTATCAGAGGGATACATTTGTGCAAGGTACAATAAAACTTGTAACTCCTCGTTCTACTTGGACAGCTGGATGCTGTATATGGCTGAAACCAGGTGAGGCGAGAAGAGCAGAATCTTTTGCAGTGATGAGCAACAATCAAAACAAAAGAACGAAGGTTCTCCTAACAGAAATGAGAGTGCTCGACTTAGAGGAGCTCCTAAAGACACCACCATCAGCAGCAGTGAATTTGTTCCCAGGGGAAGAGGAATGTAGACGACCTGAAAACAATATACCACTTTAAAAAGAATGGAAAGAATGAAAAGAAGAGGAAACAGACTGTTTAGAGTCAAGTAATTTAGTTAATGTTCCTCCTTTCTGTCATATATGTATTTCCGTGATGCTAAAAAAAATAAACTTTCAAATCTATTTATGACAAATGGTCTTTCTATTGGACTAGGAAAATATTGCGTTGGCAACAAGACATCGAGATGATAACGACAGATCATAAGAAAAACTTTAGAACTGTACTGCTTTTTATGTTCGGACGGCTATGGTGAATTTTAGATCAGATTTCAAGTTCACTCTTGTCCTTGCCAATCCACCCTAATCGAATCCTATCAACTCCAGTTCATTACAATCCTCCGAGACTCACTCCAATCCACAATAGTCAGGACCAATTTTCTCCAATCCATCTTAATCCACGCATATTTACCCCAGCTATGATGGAAAAAAAGAAACAATGTATGACAAGCCAAAGTAACTGAGGTCTGTATAGCATATATGGGTACGTATCTCTTTGAAATATTGCGTTCTCGTCAAAATCGCTGAAAACTAAATACTTGTCTGAAGGGTCTAATAGCAAAGTATTTCCTCTTCACTTTCGACCAGATCACGTCCTTTTTTCATTGAACTTAGTTTCCTGCTTTGTTTCATGGCAAAAAAAAAAAAGGGGAGAAGAGAGTCTGTATGAAGTTCATATAATGCAATTAATTAAGTTCAAACTTAAGTCATATTTGAATTTCATCAGTCCTCAAGTTTAGAGCAACGCACCACATTTTGGTGGTACATTTTAAGTTTCTGATATAAGCATTTTCCGACAAAGTATAAGAAAGACAATCAGCTAAAATAACTGACATTTAGTAAGCTCGCCTATTTTTATTTTTGTTTTGAGACAATGAAAATTACAAGATGAAAATGTAACAAAAACATGAAAGTTAACTATTGGTAGAGGTTGCCCACAGGTAATATAACTAAACATCAATTCCAAACTGATTGATAGAGAATTGTCAATTGATAAAAAATCATAGAGGAAAAAAAAATAATCGGGTACAAAACAAAAATATCACCTGCCACGAAGGCTCGCTCACTCCTCAGAAACAAGTTTAAAAAGGTCTGTACAACTGAAACAAAATATGTCGAACCAACTTTGTGATCAATGATCAAAAGTACGACGGATACGCATTTGGCGACGACAGGAATCTTCTCAAGGGATGTCATTTAAAGCTTCTGGTGATGCTAGGGTATTCTTATCACGTGCTGAGTTATCAACCGCTGGGAACAATTGTGAACTTTTCCATTGTGTTTTTTTGCTCACCAAAGGCCGCTATGAAAGGAAATTCTACCTGAGCCCTTGTTCCACGTTTCTGAACTTTTTTGTGCTTTTCCATGCTGTAGGTCACAATTTTGAAAGTAGAAGATTTGCGTAACAATGGATGACTTTGGATTTTCGTTATTCGCTGCCTCTTCAGCTCCCAGAGCTTTAATAACTTGAGCATGACCAAACCTTTCATCTCCAAGCAATCGGGAACCGTTCTTCTTCTTCTTCTTGAAAATTGGCAGGCAGCGAAACATTCTAGACTTTTTTT